TACTTTTTTTTTTGGCTTTTGTGGTTCAATATGAGAGGGTTAATATTTTGGTTCAATATTTTGTGGTTCTAAGGTTCAATATTTTGTGGTTCAATATGATATGTTTTAGGCTTAGAATTATTCTCATTTTTTATTTATTAACCGTTATTAAAAAAGCTCATTCTTTAGTTGTTCAATTGAGCTATGAATATGAAGCTCACAGTAACAAGTCTTAAGTTGTCTATTCCAGAGATATCATCTAGTCAAAGATCTCCATCAAAAAAAAAAAAAAGAAAAATATTGTTATGCGATGAAACAGTGTTATTAGAAGATTCCTTATCAATAGACAACAAATTCATCAATTATTTAAATATGAGTATAAAAATATATAAAAATTTATATCCCTTTGAATTTTATAAAAATAATTTTCCCATTTTGTCAAAGACAGCGAAGATGCTCTTGTATAACTGCTTCATCAACGCTTTTGGAAGATTTTTAAGTGCTGCAGAAATTATTACAGAATGGCAAAATAGGCTTAAACCAGATTTGGCTGAACAATGTGTCTTTTTAAACCAAGACATATAAAATAGTCATCTTATTTTTTTTCTATTGTAATTTCTGTTTTGTTTGTTTATTCTCGATTTAAATTAATCTTATAGAATAATACCACCACAATGAACAATGTGTTTTGTTAAACTAAGACATATAAAAAATTTTTTCTTTACTATTTTGATTTCTTTTTTGTTTTGTTTGTTTACTCGATTTAAATTAAGCTAATAGATTAAAATTGAACAAAAAAAAAATACATGTAATATAAAAGTATACATACTACTTAGTTTTTTGTTTATTCTCTTTAACTTCTATTTATTTCATAGAGCTCAAAAAATAAATTGTGAAGCAACATTAAATGATTACACTGATTACAAACTTTCATTTTGTGAAATTTTGTTTTTCTTACACAACTTTTTATGCTGATTCTAAATATGTAATCCAATTTTTTGTATCACGTCAGGATTTTTTGCAGTTTAACATTTGTTAATGTAAAAAAAAGTCAATAAAACCAGCAACAAAACGTACTTCGGTCATGCAGAAAACTATTGGTATTTAAAAAATTAATAACAAAAGCATAATATAAAAGCAGATATACATATATCTATTGTCTTCTACAGTGTGAATTGTCTTTTGAGTGATATTCGCATATGAGCAGCACCAGGATTATGGCATTTTAATGACCATTTTAATCTCCACTGATAGCATCGTAAGCAATTCCCATAGATGTGACAAGGCCTTCAATATTATTACAATATAACAATTCTTGCTTACTTGAAAAAAACTGTACCAATTCTGTCTCACAATATCTGTACACACTTATGCTAGTATTAGGAGTGAAAAGGTTTCGTTCTTGTAAATGGGATGCAAGCAGTTCAGCTGATGACTATGGAAGATAAAGTTCTTGAACTTTATCGTCAAGATCTTCCTGAGTAAAACGTTTTGGTGTGACATCTGCATTAAAATCAGGATCAAGAACATCACTACTGTTCTTCAGAACTTGAGCTGTTATCACTTACAATATGATCCAGCTGAGTAGAAGGAGCGGGTACAGAAATGTCTTCACAGTGTTCTAGAGGCCTCAGGGCTGACAGTATATTTGGATATAGAATCTTGTGTCTGCTCTTTTTGTTGAATCCAACAACATTCGTCATGCAAAAATAGCAGTCCGTCACATGATTCGAAGGCTCACGCCAAATCATGGGCACGCCAAATGGCATACTTTTCATTTTGTTATCTTTAAAACACTTGCCAAGAGTTACTTTGCAAAGTTTACAAATAACATGAGGCGCCCATGCTTTGTCCTGGTCTCTCAGTTTGCACCCAAAGTATGCACGATAATATTTCTTTGTCAAAAAAAAACAAATATTACAAAAACTGTCTGCTGAATTCGTACAATGTCTTGCCATTATGAAATTTTTTTGAAATTAAAATTTGAAACACAAACAACAGCAATAAAATAATTAATTAAACTTGTATTCAAATATAAACTGATGATATAAGCCGCTTATGATAGGCATAAAATTTGTTAACACAAATTTGTGGTTTTCTCAAAAACCTGACGTGATACAAAAAAAAAGAAGTGCATTAAAAGTTATTATTTTTAATAAGCTTTCAGAAATTCATGTTTTACTTGCAGTTTTTTCATGTTTTTTTGGAATGTAAATGGTCACTACTGCAAAGCACTCGCTGCATCCGTGCTTCCAACATCCCTGTCAATTATATTAATAACCCTTTAACCATAGAATTAATCAACAAAATTTTGTCGAGTGTTTCTATAAAACTATAAAAATAATGATTCTGTTGAGTGCTTCTATAAAACTATAAAAATAATGATTCTGTTGAGTGCTTCTATAAAACTATAAAAATAATGATTCAGTTGAGTGCTTCTATAATACTATAAAAATAATGATTCTTTGAGTGCTTCTATAAAACTATAAAAATAATGATTCAGTTGAGTGCTTCTATAATACTATAAAAATAATGATTCTGTTGAGTGCTTCTATATAGCTAGTAGGTGAAGTAAGGTGTATTAGTAGATGAGGTAAAGTATATTAGTAGATGAGGTAATGTGTATTAGTAGATGAGGTAAGGTATATTAGTAGATGAGGTAAGGTGTATTAGTAGGTGAGGTAAGGTGTATTAGTAAGTGATGCAAGGGACATTAGTAGGTGAAGTAAAATAGATTTGTAGGTGAGGTAAAGTATATTACAGATGCATAAAACTAACTTACACATGCAATAAAACTAACTTACACATGCAATAAAACTAACTTTGTTATTATTATTTTTTTAATAAAAAGAATTGTATTTTAATCACAATTAATCTCGTTTGTATTTATAATATAAGTATAAATACAATTCTATAAATTTTATAGAAATCCAAATTTTGTTTGTAAAAATTATTTTATTGAAATTTTTGTTTATTTAGGGTATTGATGATTTGACTGGTGAAAAATTAATTCAACGTGACGATGATAAAGTATTTTTAAATCAGTTATTCTTTATTTTGCAGAATTTTTTTTTTTTTTGCAAGATTAAAACTTTTTTATTTTGAAACTATTTTTCAGCCAGAAATAGTTCAACAAAGATTAAAAGTTTATGATGAGTTAACTCGTCCTCTTCTGCGTTTCTATAAGTATTTTATTTATTAATGTTTTTTGTTACGTAAAAACATAGAAACTTGAAAATTTTGGGAGTATATTTAAAATTGTTTTTCCATAAATTTTTAGGGATGCTGGAATACTTCAAACTTTTAGTGGTACGGAATCTAACGTTATTTATCCTGAACTGCAAAAATTTTTAAAAGATTTTATACATAGTTTTAACGCACAATAAAAAGTCAAGTTAAATTTTTAAAAATTAAAATTTTTATTAAAGATAAAAAAAACTTTTACTTTCTTTTACTTTTACAATTCAAAATTTTATAAAGAACTTTATAATAATAACAAATCATACTAATATTTCATTTTTTTATTGTTATCATTATTATTATTTTTTGTAAATCTAATTTTGAGTTTAAAAAAATTTAAATCTTAATGCAAAAATCAATTTTTAAAACTCATATGAAATTATTAGTCATTACAATAATCTTCGTTCAAAAGCTTATTATGTGTGAATTGTTTGATTCTAACAAGTAATTTTGAATAAACAATTTTTTTTTAATAGCCGCTTTTATTCTTTTATTGATCTTAAATTTTTTCAAACTGTTAAAAAAAAATTTTAATTTAAAAACACCCAAGTACGTGCGGGGGTTAATTAAAACTTTTTTTTACTTGAAACCTTAATGAAAATCTTTTTAAGGAATTTTCTTTTATTGTCTAAATACTACTAAAGCCCATAATAAGCCATAAAAAAAAAAAGCATTAATTTTTTTAAAATTAACAGTAGAAATAGAAATTACAAAGTTAATTACAAAAAAAATATTACTAAATTTACTTAAATTAACTTTTTACATAGACCATATTGCGCTGTTTAGGGAATCTGCAAAAAGATTTTTTTTTTTGAGTTTTATACCCAAAAATGCTGAATTTTCTTTGATTTCCTTTTTTTTTTTAGGTATTATAGTTAGGAAAAATAAATATGTAAATACCTACAATACCCCCTAATTTATATTAAATATTGTATCAGTATTTCATTAATGTATTTTTATCAATCTGATACGTAATAATTTTGTATATCACCATAATCGGTTGAAATTTGGACGATTTTAAATTGAGTTTTTTCAAAAACCACTAAATCAATTGTTATATTTTTTTTATAATGATGCTTATATAATTAGTTTTCTTCTGTGTGAGTGTAGTTTTGTTTAATCGTTAGTTTTTGCAATATAGAGTAGAGTCAGAAAATCGATTAAAAAAGTTTGAAATTATACGTAGAAAATCCATCGCTCTCATATTCATGACTTCAAAAGCATATAAAGTTCCAAAATCAACTATTGGAGTTATTACAAAATGTAATAAGGAAGAAAAAAAAAATAATAAAATTGGTTAAGTAGATTTATTTCCAAAAAGAAGGCAAAATCAATAGTCGACTCAATTCATCAAAATCCGGATGTATCTCAAAATCCAAAAATACGCTAGGAGCGTATTTTTGGTCTTTGAGATACATCCTGCAGGAGCGGATCTTGCATTTTTTTAGTCTATATTCTAAATATATTCAGTATAAATATATTCAAAAGTTAAAAATAAATTTAAAGTTACAGGTAGTTTGATCTATGAAACATTAATTACATTAATATCGTTTACATTAATATCGTTCGTATAAAAAATGTTAAAGAATCATTTTTTATTTACTTAATACATAGTTTCTCAGTTTGAAAAATCAAACTTACGAAATATTTCTCAATCATTGTTGATTCTACTCTCGATGTGTCATTTAATGAACAACTCTAATTTGTTTAGTTGATCTTTTACCATTAAGAAAACCAGTTGAGGGGTTTTATCTTTCATTCCCAAGCAGAATTATCTTCTAATCTTCATGCTTGAAGCGTCAGTGAAAATGAAATTCTATTTTGACTTCAAATGTTTTGAGCATTTACCATTTAAAACCAGAAGAAAGGTTAAGCATGATCGTTTTTAATAACGATAACGTTTGATATTACTGGATACAAATTTAAATGAACAAACCTGTTCATTTCTGATTTAAAACGTTAAGCTTCATTTCTTATCAGTTCTTTTGTCTTCTTTAGATATGAAAATGCATAGATCTACAGTAATGTGTACTAGAGGGCTTCTTATTTAACTATACATTTTCCTTCTGATTATTAATTTTAGTGGAACAATAGCTGCTTGAAAAAGACTTACCGTAGGCCTCTCTATTATTTGTATCAGTATATCTTTGTTTCTAAAAACTATAACTGGAGGCCCCATCAAAACCATCTTTAAAGTAAAGCATCCTTTAAAACTTTCCCCCACTTTCAGAGAATATTCTCATAGTCTTGACATTCAGTAAAAGTTAATTTGTCAGAGTATGTTTAAACATTGCGTTAAAGTAGATGTTTCTGTCACAATTACACCCTAAGGAAAACATTTCTTTCTTTTATTCTTAATTTCAGGAATTGAAGGATAAATAACTGAACTCTGTAATATGAACGAAGTTCTAATAATTTGATACTGTTCATCAGAAAGATTATACTGAATTTTTAAACTCAAAGCATCTTTGGTTTTAATTTTTATCGGAAAACCGACCTCCATCTTTTTAACTTTATTAGAACTTTTCTCAAGAAAAACAAAACTCTTTTGCTTGGATCTCCACAGGCTTTTTTATAAAAGCTAATGCCAGTGCTTCAGCAGAATATTCAGCTAATTTGACAACTTTAAATAAAAAAATATTTAGTATTTAAGCATACAAACTATTTTTTGAATTGGTTGGAATTCAATTGATTTATGACTACTTTAGATCTTCTGCTTCTATCACTTAAATATTTCCAGACCTTGTTTTTTCTACCTAAACCTGCTCCGACGTCTTTCTGCCAACTGTTATATTTTTACCCAATCAAATTCACTCATGTTCCAGAAATTTTGAGTTGAATTGGAATTTACATGTAGATATTAATAGAGATTTCTTAAGGTTTATCATTTCAGGTTCATCAATACTTTCAGTTATCAGTTTCAGTCATCAACACTTTCCAGCCTATAAAACTTATGTAGAAGAGCCTCTAAGTAAATTATCATGATTAATTCAAAGTAAACTAATATGATTAATTCTTAACTCATGAGTGATGGAAACTAAATCTATAAGTTTTAGTAATTTTTATGTTTAATTAATTTTCGAAACAAAAAAAAAATAAATTAAACGGTCTTATATTAAACTAGCAATAAGCAACCCGTAATACGCGTTGTTAGTAAATAAAATTAAAAAAAAAAACCGCGTATAGAAAAGCCTAGAAACTACTTTAAAATAGAATAGCCTAGAAAATGACGTAACTCGACTAATAACAATATTAAATTAGCGTTTTTACATATATTATCAGATTAGGGCAAGTTCGGCGATGTGATTTTTATGAGAAAATGTAAAAATTATCATGGAATCTAGTGGAATCTTATAGGTTTCTAATTATAATCAAATAAAAAACAAAAACAGTTTGGGTTACTTTTAAAAATACAATTTAGGGTACTATTCCAAGATCTCAGGAACGACAATTTAAAATCAAAATACAAATAAAATAATTAAAATAAAATAATTTTTTTTGATTTTCTTTTATCTTACACATATGCCTTAAAATTAAAATTTGAATTTGTTTTTACCCATGTTAACCTTAATAGAGTATACACAGAGTAACACCAAAGCAAGCTTTTAGTTTCCAAGTTTGACAATAAAAAAAAGAAAGAAAACAATAAGTCTCAAGAAAAGATCCAAATAATGGTGAATCCTTAGAATTTAACCAAATTAACTACCTTTTTTTTGCAGTTATTTTATTTAGTGGGTATTTTGCGTGTTTATTTAAATTTAAACTCACTGTGAGCCGTACCGTAACAATTAAAATATTTTTGTTAACTGCTGTTAAATTTGAATAGGCCAAAAGGCAAGAAGCCAAGAGAGTACAGAATGCCTAAAATGTCAGGAAGCCAATAAATTACTTAACCCTAATGTAAGTGGTACTTAATACTAAAGAAATACTTGACCCTGTGTAAACGACATATTTTCTTTTAAGTTATTTAAGCTTTATTATCATTAAGAGAGGCTATGGTTTGTTAAAACATTACCTTTTTGCGCCATTTAACGAGCAGTTTGTTAAATACAAACGAGTTTAGAAGATTTGAAGTGCTAAATTAAATCCTGCTTTTTTTACTTTCTATTTACTAAAGTTTCTATAGAATTGTATACTTATGATAACTTTTTGTAATTTTTGCATTAGAAAATGTAATCTTGTATTATAATAATAATAAAATAGTCTGATGAAATCTATACTTAATGTGTGCTTTGTTTTTAGTAACCTATGCACTAAAAACTTTTTCAAAGTTTTTAGTGCATAGGTTATCTTAATTAAAATGCTTTTAAGTGGTTAAATCGGGGTATATAAATGCTTTTAAATGGTTTTATAGGGGTGTATTGGGATATTGTGATTTGTTGGAGCGTTTGGTCAATTTCATTTTTAGAGCATCACTTATATTCATCCTATTATTGCACGTAGATTTTTTGCTATATTATAATTGTACTATACATATACGTTAAAAATTCATGAAAACACATTATTAAAAATTTTCAATGACAAATTTGATAAAATGGAACATAAAATAATTAGCATGCAAGAAGTAAACAATAATCTAAAAAAAGAAGTTTGCGAATTAAAAATAACTATTGAATTTATAAGTGTAAAATACGATAGCATTAATATCGAACTTGCAGAACAAAAAAAGAAAACAAACACAGTAGCTAAACAAAGTGACAGCTTAAACGAAAATTGTACCAACCTAAGAAACAGTGACATTGAAGATAAACTTACAGAGTTAGAAGATCGAAGCAGGCGAAGTAATTTAAGATTTACGGGAATTAAAGAAGATCCGAATGAGGCATGAGAAGAAAGTGAAAGAAAAGTTCAGGTTTTTTTAAAACCAAAACTTGGGTTTACAAATAATGTAGAAATTGAAAGAGCCCATAGAACGGGAAGGAAAGCTTCTGATGGAAAAAAAAGGAGAGCAATTGTAGAGAAGTTTTTCAATTACAAAGATAAAATCGATTTATTAAATAAAACTATGGTACGAAAAGCTTTACGTCAATGAAGACTTTAGCGACAAAACAATTGAAATAAGAGAACGACTATTTAAAGAAGCGAACGATTTGAGATCAAAAGGTAAATTTGCAAAGGTAGTTTATAATAAACTTATTACTCGTGATTTTTGATTTTCAAAAAAAAAAAAAATTTCTATCAAATAGTTATAAAAATTAAAATGG